CCCCCCCCCCAGTCCACCCTTCGGTACCTGTCCCAGCGGCGCGGCCGGGCCCAGCAGCGCGGCGGCCAGCAGCGGCGACAGCAGCAGCAGCAGCCCTCGCCGTCCCAGCGCCGCCTCCATCTTGCGACCGGGGAATTAAAACAAAGTGAAACATCAACAAGCGACGGTGGCGGCGGTAGGGGCGGGGCCGGGAGGAAGCCGGGGAGGAGGCCGGGCCGGGCCGGGGAGCCCCCGGCGCTCTGCGGCAGGAGGCCGGCCTTCGGCGGCCCCGGATCCCGGTTCAGGCGCTGCAGGGTAACGCTACCGTTAATAGGTGATTACGGCCTTCGGGAGCGCTTTGCATAATAAAGAGAGCGAGCCGCCAGGCTCACGTTAATAATTACTGCGCTGCCTGAAGCGGCCGACGCGCCCTCCTCAGCCCGAGCTGGCACCGTGGGCTGGGGCCGCCTGGGCCCCGGGTGGCAGCGAAGGGGCTGTGAAGCGCTGGAAGGGGCTGCCCAGGGCAGCGGTGGAGCCGCCATCCCCGCAGGGGGTTAACAGACCGGCCGGCCTGGTGCTGAGGGACACGGCTCGGCGGGGTGGGCTCAGCCGCGGCAGGTTAGCGGCTGGACTCGGGGGTCTGAAGGGACCTCTGGAGATCATCTAGTCCAACCCCCCTGCCAAAGCAGGTCCACCCAGAGCAGGTTGCACAGGAACGTGTCCAGGTGGGGTCTGAATGTCTCCATAGGAGACTCCACCACCTCTCTGGGCAGCCTCTTCCAGGGCTCTGCCACCCTCAAGTGAAGAAGTTCCTCTTCATGTTTAGGTGGAACTTCTTATATTCAAGTTTGTGCCCATTTCCTCTTGTCTTACCTCTGGGCACAACTGAAAAAAGAGCAGCCTCTTGACACCCACCCTTTAAGTATTCTTTAAGTATTTATAGGTGTTGATCAGATCCCCCCTCAGTCTTCTCCAGACCAGAAAGACCCAAGTCACTCAGCCTCTCCTTGTAAGGGAGATGCTCCAGGCCCCTAATCATCTTTGTAATCATCTGCTGTACCCTCTCCAGCAGTTCTCTGTCCTTCTTGAACTGGGGAGCCCAGACTGGACACAGTGCTCCAGATGGGGCCTCACCAGGGCAGAGCAGAGGGGCAGGTTAACCTCCCTCGACCTGCTGGTCACACTCTTCCTGATGCACCCCAGGATGACATTGGCCTTCTTGGCCACAAGGGTACATTGTCGGCTCATGGTCATCCTATTGTCCACCAGGACTCCTAGGTCTTTCTTCTCAGAGGTGCTCTCCAGCAAGTCAGCCCCCAATCTGTACTGGTTTGATTCTATAGATTCTATGATTCTATGATTCTTTATAACGTGGGCTGAACTAGAAGTGCCCCAAGTCAGGAGAGGCATCTTGAAAGCCAAAGCTGGCAGCATGCTCCAGGAGAGAGCAGAGTGAGCCATCAGAAAGGAAGAAAGCAGAAGATAAAGTGTTAAAGAGCTGGGTCTTCAGAGCAGAGAAGAGCAAATGGAGGAGAACTTCCTAGGGGCAGTCAAAATCATGGACGTTTCCAGCAAAAAGAAAGAAACAACCTGGATCTCCAAGTCCTCGGTGGATATGAAGACAAAAAAGTGCTTTATTTGAACAGGAAAGTTTTCATTTATCTGTTAGAAAAAACCTTTCTGATGATGAGGGTGGCAAACACCTTAACAGCTTGTCCAGGGAGGTTTTATTGCCAGGGCAGGGCAATAAATTAGCTGTCCCCTTGAAGCGATCTGTAGCCGGATTTTATATTGCTCCTTGACTCCCTCTTGGTTCATAGCGAACATAAATCATAAAACCCAGAGAAACTCAGTATTTTATATGCAGTTTGCATTCATGAGACACTGGTGTAAACAGCTGGCACAGGGTACAAGGCACAGGAAAATGAGGCCTAAGAGAGTCATATATTTGTAAAGTGTATTTCATACATATTACATGAAAACCTAAAATATTTCATCACTAAATACATTTCTTATCAGTGGTTAGGACTATTTTAGAGATTAGAATAAAGAAAGTTGAATAACTAAATTCTCCATAATCACACAAGTCAGTAATGGAAGAAAGGAAGAAAAACTCTGACGTCTTAATTTCTATCACCTCTCTTCGCCATCACCTACTTTACCTAGTTTCTCTTAGACCTGTCCTTGAGCTATTTTTTTTTTTTTTAATCTGTTGCGTTTGGTAAACTAAGAAATAGGTGAAGGGTCTGTCCGCTGTGTGGTCTCACCAGGCAGAAAGCTACGTGGTCAGTCAGCTCCCCAGCAAGACATTTTGCTGAATCTCATAAAGGGCATGTGAAGAGTCTTGGGGGATACGACAGCAGCTACAAGAATGCAGGTCTTGTTGGTACTTGCAGTCATTTGCATGCGCTGGTGGGAGGAAGTTTAAATCACCCGAATTCCTAATTATGAGTTGCACTCTGTGCGTAAATCAGAGCAGAGGGTTCCCTCCCAACAGGACCAGTCAACCCTTGATGAGCAAAAGCAAGCTGCGGTAATACGGTGTTTTGTGTGTCAGATTCATGATTCATGATTTACAAAATGTACTAGAGGCAGGATAATGAATGGTATCAGAGGATATAAAAATACAGGGAAGCAAGAACTTATAGATTCTGCGAAGTTCAGGCTGGGTTCCCATCTGACCTCGAGGAATTCAGTGTCTCACTGGGACGGAACAGGAGCTGAATGCTTGTTCCTTTTTTGACTGCCTCCTTTTGCAAGTTCCCTGGTAAACTACCTATCAAGTAATGCTCTCCTTCCATTTCTGTTTTCCTTCCTTCTTTCCTTTTTTCCCTTTCCTTCAGTCCTCTTTCTTCTTTTTATTCTCTTGCAACGTAGTTAAAACTGCAAAAAAATATGTGCTAACAATGCTTTCACCATACTTCTGTTTTCCACAAATTTCAGGGCTTTTATTAGTCTCACAGCACAATGGATGTGGTAAAAATCCTAGCAATAACTAAATAAATAGCAATCTAGTTTTAGAAGTGATCTCGGGTGAGCCCGTGTCTGCTAGGTGCTGGGCCAAGCCGGGGAGCATGAGAGGACTTTCCCTTTTGGCCCAGACTGACGCCTCCTACGCTCCTCTAGTCTACTGTGTCCTCACATTTATAACTATTTAAAGGGTAACATTTTTGAGTATTTTGTACTGAGACTGACTCCTGCTAGAGCTGCTGAGCGTGCCAGAAATGCTGTATTTCAGTGGGTTTATACTTAAGTTTGAAGTGATGTTTCTGACTTTTCAAAGCTATCACGGAAAGCCATTTTTTTTCTTTGAACCTTCATTATAACCGTGGGCTATTAAAAGGCAAAAGGCAGTAAAAGAATAAGAAAAATATTTCTTCGTTTCTTTCATGACTAAAAAGAGTGATAAAAGCCTAAGTAAGTAGGATGCTTTCTTACTGAAGTGCAAAGTACAAGTTCTTGAAGTAGCAAGTAAATAGTTAAAACTTCAGTTAGCACACACTTGCATAAAACTAATGTACTGTTTGCATACCTCTTAAAGTTTCAGAGTAACAAATGTAATGTGTGCTACAGTGCTTCCTTCTATCCATAACTGCCATACAGCATGGCTTAAAACCAGCCTTCAGTTAATTCAGGATTGATGCACAGACTGGGAATAAGCTCACAAAACCAATACAGCCCTGCAAAATGCTTGATGGTAGCACAAACAGCTTTGAAAACTCGCACACTGTGGAGGCAGAATACAGCTCCCTCCTGTGCAGATCCTGGTCCCAGGACCAGCCCAGTGTCTCCAGAACCATTGTGAGCAGGGTAGGGATTAACAGAAAAGTGGGGGAATTCCCTGTTTGGCTCTTTATAAAGGCGCTGCTGTATAATGCGGTGATCTGATATTACTTTTGCTGCTGCTTCAGGAGGAGATCCTGCTCTTACCAACCTCCATGCTGGCTGTGCATCCCCGCTCCCCACCTTCCCCTTCACTGGTTCCTTTTTACTGTATGGCAAGTCAATTCCGGTCACTAACCTGGCAGAAACCAAATTCAGCAATAAAAAAAGAAATTGTTTTCCAACAGATTAGTGACTTGAATCAACTCATTGTGCAACAAGTACTGGAGCTTGATCCGGAAAGAGGTGAAGGCGGCGCAGAGGTCCCTGCACAGGGGAGCAGGGTCCCTTGCTGTGAAGGTGACCAGGTTGGTTGAGCTGTAATACATAAGCCCAAGAAGATGCTACAGCATCAACAGGAAGGGAATAATAGAAACATAGAATCATAGAATGGTTTGGGTTGGAAGGGACCTTAAAGATAAGTTCCAACCCCCCTTTTATTTCGCTTTTATTATGCATCTATTGCATGTTTATTCAAAACATTGAGCCAATGTACTATATTCTAAATAGAAAGGCAACTGTGATCCCTCTTGGGTGTTGGGAGAGAAATTGGACAGAAGAAATGTGTATATCATAGAATCATAGAATGGTTAGAGTTGGAAGGGCCCTTAAAGATCATCCAGTTCCAACCCCCCTGCCATGGGCAGGGACACCTCCCACCAGACCAGGTTGCTCAAAGCCCCATCCAGCCTGGTCTTGAACACTTCCAGGGATGGGGCAGCCACAACTTCTCTGGGCAACCTGTTCCAGTGTCTCACCACCCTCACAGGAAAGAATTTCTTTCTAGTATCTAGTCTTAAATCTCCCCTCTTTCAGTTTAAAACCATTCCTCCTTGTTCTAATAAAATAAAGATTAAAACCCTATTTGCTTGTCTGTCCTTTCAGTGTCACACACTGCTTACTGGTTGTGCTGTGACCGCGTACTCAAGGCAAATATTGGGACTGTTAATCGCGTTACAACCCTCCAATTAATATCTATGAGGTAAAACTGGTTTTCTTGGACGATGTAGCACAAGCACCCAGTGCAGAATAAGCTCACCTCAGTGAGCACCACGCTCAAAAGTCCCACCATCAGCTTCAAAACGTGCACTTTGCCAGAAGGGGTTCCTCTTGGTGGGGGGGCGAGGGGGTTGTCTCCATTCTCCCCCATCCCCTTCAGGAAGGGGTTCCTGGAAGCCCATCCCCGCTGCCTCCCGCCCTGTCCCGGCCGGAGGGGAGCGGCCTGGGGGCGCGGGGTTCGCACCCTGTGCCTCCGGGGTGCCTGACAGGGACTCGGGGGCAGCCCCTGGTCGCCCCCTGGCCCTCCCCACAGGCCCCGGCCACTTTCTCCACAGCCGGAGGCAACCCTTCGACCCTCCCTACGAGGCCCCGGCCGCCCTCCGGCCCTCCCCGCAGGCCCCGGCCCTCCTCGGCGGCAGTTCCTCCTCCGCGCCGGCAGAGGGCGGCCGAGCGAGGGGCGGGCCGCGCCGCCCGTGCGCAGGCGGGTGGCGACCATGGCCGTGCTGCTGGAGACCACGGTGGGCGACCTGGTGATCGACCTGTACACGGAGGAGCGGCCCCGCGGTACGAGCGCGGCGGGAGAGGGGCCGGGGGAGCTGGGGAACGGACCGGGGCTGGGGGCGGCCTCCCTCCGCGCCGGGATGGATGGCGTCTGGCCCGGTGAGGAAGTGCCGGGTCGTGGCGGCCGCTGTGGCCCGGAGCGGGGAGGACTGTCATGGTTTGAGGGTTCGGCTGCCGGCGCGGCCCCCTGAGGGCTTCAGAGGGGTGGTGTCAGGCGGCACCCGGTGTTCTGTCACCCCAGGGCCCCGATCCTGGGGTTGGAGCCAGGCTTTCTGCTGCCTCAGCCCTCCCGCTGGGCAGCCCCTGTGTGTGTGTGTGTCTGAAGTGCTTACAGGTGCCAGTCGCTGTTGGGAAGTTTGGGTATTTATTTTTATTAAGCTTTTATTATGCATCTGTTGCGTATTTATTCAAAACACAGAGCCAATGTGCTATATTCTGACTCAAAAGGCAACTGTGATCTTTCTTGGGTGTTTGGAGAGAAGTTGGGGAGAAGAAATGTGTATTTCATAGAATCAGGGTATCATAGAATGGTTGGAGTTGGAAGGGACCTTAAAGATCATCCAGTTCCAACCCCCCTGCCATGGGCAGGGACACCTCCCACCAGACCAGGTTGCTCAAAGCCCCATCCAGCCTGGCCTTGAACACTTCCAGGGATGGGGCACCCACAGCTTCTCTGGGCAACCTGTTCCAGTGTCTCACCACCCTCACAGGAAAGAATTTCTTCCTGATATTTAAGCTAAATCTCCCCTCTTGCAATTTAAAACCATTCCCCCTTGTCCTGTCATTTCCATAGAAGTAGCTGTATTTAGGGCTCTCTGAACCACTAGAGATAGGCTTTATGAAGGGAGGACAAGTTACCTCTCCCTTAAAGCATTTCTTACAGCATTTATAGGTTGTGCGCTGATAAGTCTTAGCACGGTCTGCTCCAAAACCACTCTTATACATATTGAATATCTACCCTTATATTTGTACTATCTGTACTTACTATACCTGTACTTACTATCTTTAGTGAATGTTGGTACAATTTCTTACAGCTTGTCTGAATTTCCTGAAGCTCTGCAAAGTCAAGTACTACAACTACTGTCTTATTTATAATGTGCAAGTGAGTATTCTCAATTCCCTTTTTTTTTTTTGTTGGTTTAAATTCACAAACATGAAAGCAATATCTTATGTATTCTGCTTTGTGATAGAGGGATTTTATTATACAAACCGGTGACCCCATGGGAACTGGCCGTGGAGGGGAATCCATATTTCGGTAAGTAAAACTTTTGTGCTACTTAATTAACAGAAATGTTGTATAAGGGAATAGGGATTCCAATTAGATTGTCTTCAGCTCTCTTGGGGCAGAATTACTGATGAGAAGTAAAAATGTTGATACTTGCGTTTCTATGGTTGTCGTACCTAAATACCTTTTTATTTTCAATGCTGCCTTTGGCCATTCAGATTTTTTTTCTGGACAGTGTTCTATCTCTGACCTTAGAAGCAAAGTTACAGCTGACAAGTTGTACGTAAATTTCTGTTTGTTTCAAAGTTAGGGAATATCTATAGGTTTGCTTTTGTAAGAGACCTGTCATAACTAAGTGCTCTAAAAGGCAAAATCATTAGCAGTTTGTTACTATTTTACTTTTTGTAACAAATGTATTTAATTGAGTGGTAGGGGAATATAGAGGCTATAGTTGATTTTCTCTGTGTGTAAGAAAGGAATCCCGTTGCTCTAAAAATGCATTTTAGTTATGTTGACTGTGTATTAGGAAATCACTTTTCTTCCTTGTTTAAGATGTTTTTAGTGGTCATGCACATCAAAGTTGAATAAATCATTCAAACAGCTAGAATGGAGGTTAGCAAAGCGTTTATGTTCTATACAATTCCTTTAAAATTGTAATTGAAATTGAATTATTTTGATATTCTGCTTTTTTATAAAGGTTTGGCCTTCTGCAGCTCATTGGTATGGCAGATAGGGAATTCTAGTGTGATGAGAGAGTGGCAGATTATCTTCGGCTTCTAGCACGGAGCATGGCAATTTGTCTTTTCTACCTGTTCTTTACTGCCAAAGTCCACAAAACTGAGAGTTTCTGTTCTTGCTACCCAGCAGACTGATGCAGGCAAAGTTTAATTTGAATCCTCTCTTCATAGAGAGTCACACCTGCTTCTCAAAATGAGTTCCAACACAATACAGTCTTTAAATTTGGGCAAATGTGTGTATTGACCATCCCTCTCTGAATTATGGACTGAGACAAGATAAGTGATACCAGGGTTAGACTTAAAAAATTAAAGAATTTAACAATTTGTTATATATTATGCATCTCAAATTATTGTGTGCAGTCCTACCTGTATGATGAACTAAGTTTACACATAGATTTAGTGGCTTTCCATTTACTTTCGAAGAGAAATTTGTGACAAATTATTAGTGTGGGTTAACTTATTTTTATGGAACCTACTTATCAAAATATGTATTCACTTCACGCCCTAGAAAAATGTTATCTGTGCCATGTGAAAACATACAAACACACACCCCTTCCCTCCCCTTGCCCTTCCCAAAAGAGCCTCGTTAAAATGTCTCAGAGAAAAAATATTTTGATCCCTGTAATATAAAGTGAATTACTGAAGTATACAGGTCCATAAAAATGTGCATGGTTGCAACGTAAATTCCGGTTTTATTTGAATGCCAATGTAAAAATTTTTAACGTGTTTTATTTATTGTTTTTGACAGCATTTGTTTATCTCACTTTTAAAAATTCCTTTGCCTTTTAATGTATTTATTATATATATTTTCAGTCAACTCTATGGCGATCAAGCTAGATTTTTCGAGGCAGAAAAAGTGCCAAGAATTAAGCACAAGAAAAAGGGAACCGTGTCAATGGTGAACAATGGTAGCGATCAGCATGGATCACAGGTCAGGACACAGCCTTAGTACATGTCTGAGTAACTAAAATGAAAATTCATTGAACTCACAAAGAGGCATAACAATGACAGTGACCATTGTTATATGATCAAAAAGCATATAAAAAATTGGACCAAAATAAGTATTTTGCATAGCGTTCCAGGTACCAATGGGTATTTGATTACAGGCAAGAAAGAGATGAAAATGCTCAGATTCAAATCCTGTCTTAGGTCAATTTTATAAATTTTATTTGTTAGCATTCAGTCCTCTTTATTTTTATCTCTTTGTTCATTCATTTCTGTAATTCCTCGATGGGTTTTTGCTCATGTATAGAACGGGCAGGAAAAAAATCCTGTAGTTAAGTGGAAGTGAAAAGTAAGGAAACTGGGTTTTGAAATCATCTTAAAACTTTCTGATTATAATTTCATGTTAGTTTGAAAACAGAAATCATACCCCAGTTTCCTCTGCATGGTTACATAAAAGTGTGCATTAATGATATAATGTAAGTTTACAGTTTTATCCCAGTGGTGTTGTGAAACCATTTTTGAAAGTGATGATGTTACCTTTGCTGTTCCCTGTTCACACAGTTTTTGCTGTAGGTATGCTTAAAACTCTAATCTCATAGAATGTTTTTATTTCTAAATATTTATTTTTAGATGCATTGTCACTTTTATATATTAAAAGGTCTCACTTTTAGCATCCATATGTTTTAATTGTAAAAAGAGGTTTTTTTTATAGTCAACGAGCAATTTAAAGAAACTACAGTTTTGTCCCATCTAGAGCTTGTAATATATGGAGTTAATTTTGCTGCTTCCCTGCATTGTATGTATAAAATTGTTTGGGTGGCTGTGAGCTGTAGCTTGGCTCACCATGCTCTCAGACCTGATGGAAGAAGACTAATCTTCTCCCACACAAGTCAGGAATAGTCAGTTGTACTTCTCCTAAGGTAAAACTCAAGCCCTGAATTTTTATGTTTACTGGTTTTGTATCTTCTTTTGTAGTTTCTTATTACTACAGGGGAAAACCTGGATTACCTTGACGGTGTGCATACGGTATTTGGAGAAGTGACAGAAGGCATGGATGTATTGAAGACAATTAATGAAACCTTCGTTGATAAGGATTTTATCCCGTATCAGGATATCAGGTGTGACTGTTTTAACTTCCCTTTTTTGAGGAATACATTATAATTAAACAAATTAGTCTTGTTTGGTAACTAGATTAATATAGCAATGTCAAGTGACCTGTACATGGTGTCTTAAATACTCTTTAATTCCACTATTATTGTTAAATTAGCAGGTACAAAAATAAACAACCATATAAGAAAATGTGCAACTATATTGCTTTTACAAAAGCACCAGTACTAGTATTTACAGGCATTACAGTACGTTTGGCTGTTTGAGATGTGACTGAGATTAGTGGGAATGGTTTCCTGTTACTTGGGTAAAGAGAGTTCTATTGGCATGTGACTGATGCAGTTCTTGATTTTGTTTTCTATAAGGATAAATCACACAGTAATTTTGGATGATCCATTTGAAGATCCGCCTGGCCTGTCTGTTCCTGATCGCTCACCAGAACCTACTAAGGAACAGCTAGATGTGAGTGTTCATGATTGCATTTTGGGGAAAAGTTGGAAGAAATAATTAAATAAATTTATCCCTATCAGTGGCCAGCAGAGACTTGGTCAAAATAAGAATACTGGCTTTAAGACTTTGTCTGTCAAATCTATATCCTAGGAGCACTACACTTTTTTAGCATAGGAGGGTAAGAGATGCTCTTCTACGCCAGCTTGAGTTCTGATAGGTCAAATGCTTGTTTGTTATTTGGGGCTATTGCTTTGTTTAATAAAATAAAGCTGCTTAATCTTTGAAGAAAAGGAAAAGTATAAAAGGGTGACTTGAGTGCTCTCCCCTGTGACTATGGTGGAGTTAGGTTGGAAAGCCGAACTGTAGATTTCTAATTACACTGTAGATAAGCAGAACATTCAAAATGCTCACTTTTGGCATTACTGGTTTTTGTATACTCTTGTAGAAGACAAAATATAACTAACTATTACTGATATTAAACTGCTGCTGTTTTCCTTTTAAATGTGAAATAGTCTGTGTTTCAGTGGAAGTAATCTGGGTCATTCTTCCAGTTATATCTACAAGCATTCAGATATACCACCACTATTGTGGTGTATTTGTTCAAACAGAAGGCATTTGGTGCAAATGTAATTATTTATAAGTTGCTCATAGCGTGCAGTTATGGAAGTTGCTATGGGAGATTATCTCCTTGTATGGAAATGATGGTTTCAAACAATGAATAAATTGACTAGAGAAAACATTTTTAAGCTTAATAGATATAATTACAAGATTGGAATTAGGCTTTCATAGTACATCTGCATCGTGGTTAATCTCTGATATACCTTCAGATATGTTAACAGGGTAAGGAGTTTAATAGCTCACTGCCAACTGCTTAAAGATTTGAAAACTTATACTTAGTTTTCTTCCCCTATAGTCTATCTGAAGATAAGCTTTCTGGTGTAGAAGTGTCTGTAAGAAGGGCAGCATTCTAGAGGTGCTGATGAGAAGAAAAAAATTAACCCTCAAATCCTGTCTAGATGTAGATGTGCAAAAATAAAATCCTTATTGTGATATACTGTATTTAATGTTTGAACCTTATTAGTCACCACAGATATTTGCAGTGTTTCTTATCTCAATTTCTGGTAGGAGCTGTCGAGATTAGAAATGAGTTGACACTTGCGGTGAGATGTTGAGTATGAGATGGGAGTATAAAGGAATTTAGACTATCCAACTGAATATATTTCAAATGGGGCCTAAAAGTTCATACATAGTTCATAGTGCCTGAAACACATGAGGGTAACATCTCGCTCTCTCTCTTTTTTTTTATTGAAGTGGGAAGAATAGAATGAAAGCCCAGTTCTGCAGAGATCCAGCGCTTCAGCATTTTTAATGTTTTGGGGAGTGAGAGGGAAGGTCATCCAAGTAATATTTGGAAAGTGGGAAAGAATTTTTGGCCATGGCTTGGTAATAAATAGCTTTTTCCTTTATTTTTCAGAGTGGCAGAATAGGAGCAGATGAAGAAATAGATGACTTGAAAGGACGGTCTGCAGATGAAATAGAAGAAGTCCAGGCAGAAAAAGAAGCAAAAACTCGTGCCATTCTTCTCGAAATGGTGAACATCTTTCTGTATTTACCTTTTAGATGCTATTCCTCTGTGTGTGTATATTATATTGAGTCTAGGAGGATGTGTAGTAGTTGTCTTGAAAGTGCTTATCTGATGATAATGTCATGACTCGGAATCTGTGCTATTAAGTGTCTGTGGGACAATGGAAAGGATTGAGCATGAGCACTGGAGGTGATTTTCTGATAAAAGAGGTGATATTTCATTCTCAAAGACAGGATTAAAAGTGGGCCAGTGGAAGCTTTATAAAAATTTGCTGGAAATGCATCCAACTAAAAAATGTAGCATACATAATACACTGCTCAATATCTCTAATCTTGGAAAAAGTTTAGCATGTGTGGGAGAGAGCTTTGCTAATTTGAGATATTCTCTTCCCGGTACATACAGTGGCGTTGAGATTGCATTATTCATATATGTTATGGCTGTCTTCCATCTGTTGAGTTTAATGTTGCTTAATTTATGTTTTTCCTTCTTAAATATAATGTTTGGTAACTGCTGGCAGTTGTAAATTCCACGTAATAACAAAAAATTGCCCATGGGCTTTGAAGTCTCCTTTTTTTTTAACCAAAAAAAATTTTAAAAAAGCACTCATACTGCTGAAGGATGGGTGAATCCATGGGGATTGCAATGGGGAAAGCAACGTAGTCAGTGTTTGTGACTCATGAAGTCACAGCAGTGGAATTGCAAGTAGATAATCGTTTTTAGGTGCCAGGGAAAACACTTTTTAGTGACATTGAGTAGAAAAAATATTTTATTTTTTGTGGTAGGAACATGTCTGAGATCACCCGAAAGATGTGTTGCCAGTGTGCTGGTGGCAACAGAATGTAGAGAGCTTTAGGCAGAAGTGATGGAAGTCTTTTTCTGTATGCTGCAGGTGGGAGACTTACCAGATGCAGAGGTGAAGCCACCAGAAAATGTGCTGTTTGTTTGTAAACTGAATCCTGTGACCACAGATGAAGACCTAGAGATAATATTTTCACGATTCGGTCCAATTAAAAGGTAATTATTGTAAGATAAAAAAGAAAACCTTTTTTGCTGAAACGGAACTTGATTCTTGCCATTCTGTTTAGATTTGGCTGCTAGGAGGGAATCTGGTGTCTCTAGGGATGTATCCTGTGCCAAAATGCATGCAATATTTGGGTAGAGACCACAGCAATGGTGGTGCACAGTCAGGTCTGGCTAGATGAGTAGTCTGTGCCAGCACTGGTTAGCGTAGGAGCGAGGAAAGCACATGATACTCTGCCCAGGCCCCTGTCCTCTGCCTCCTGTCAGCATTTTATATCTCAGATGCTACATGAGCTAGATACGGTCTCTGGGTTTTTCTGTTCCATGGGAATATGTATGGTTTGGGATAAAGCAACAAACATTTCTGGCATCCGATACACTCCTTGTTAAGGTGTTCCTCATGCCTGCTGCCTTTTTCAGTTTTGAACTTAAAATCATAGAATGGTTTGGGTTGGAAGGGACCTCAAAGATCATAGAGTTCCAACCCCCCTGCCATGGGCAGGGACACCTCCCACCAGACCAGGTTGCTCAAAGCCCCATCAAGCCTGGCCTTGAACACCTCCAGGGATGGGGCAGCCACAGCTTCTCTGGGAAACCTGTTCCAGTGCCTCACCACCCTCATAGTAAAAAATTTCTTCCGGATATCTAATCTGAATCTTTTTTCTTCCAATTTAAAACTGTTTCTCCTTGTCCTATCATTACCCTTCCTGGCAAAGAGTCCTTCTCCAGCTCTTCTATAGGCACCCCTTAGTAATTTTGGTTGATTCCTCCTCCTACTGGTATCAAAAGAGATGATGGACAGTGAAACCTACTTTCCTATGCCTCTCTATCCTATACCCCAAAAGCGTCTTTTCTTCTTGCTAAGAGTACTAGTCTACACACTCATGCTTTGTAAAGGAATTTTCCTTACCTTGTTTCCCCTTTCACAACCTTTTTCTGCTCTTTTGCTTTCATGTGAAGACAAGAGGACCATAACTGCGTATGGTATTAAATAAATCATAGATTTACAGCGGCACAGTGATACTCTCTGCTTTACTCTCAACTCCTTTCCTAGTTAATGCTAAAGCTTTTTTTTTTTTTTACAATGCACAATTAGGATTCCCCCCACACTCATCTTGTTGCATTTACTGACATTGAATGTCATTTGCTATCTTCTTGTTCATTGGTCTCCTAAGAGCTTTCTGTAATTTTTTCAGTCTTTATTTTTGCCACCTTTAACAGTTCATCTTGTTGCATTTACTGACATTGAATGTCGTTCGCTATCTTGTTGTTCATTTGGTCTCCTAAGAGCTTTCTGTAATTTTGTCAGTCTTTATTTTTGCCACCTTTAACAGTTTAGTATCATCATCAAACTCCACTGGTGACCTCTTTACTTTCTTGGTGAGAAATGAGTGTTTACTCTTACCTGGTCTGTCACGGGTTTATCAATGCAAAGATGTTTCTTATGCAGCTGCTGCTTAATTTCCCCAAAAGCCTTTGGTGCAGGAATTTATTAGAATTTCTAGAGGGATTTTGAAAGACTGCATCAAATAGATCATCCTCATGCGTAAGCATATTGACTCTTTCAGAGAACTTCACTTTGGTTTATTCAGATGGCCCTGAGTAGGTCCTATTTATTCAGATGCACTTTTAGCTCCGTTCTGTATTGAGTTTCTACGAGTTTGTACAGCAGACAGGCCAGGAGGCTCCCAGATCCTTCACTAGGCTGGCTGTGTGAGTAAAATCAGCGTTGCTTTTGCCACTCTTAGGATTCCGGCATGATTTCTGGATGTCCTAGGTATTTCTTACATTTTTTTTTTCTTTTTTTTTTTCCTTCTTCGTCAGTTTGTTCAGTATCTCTTCTGCAGTCCTTCCACTTCCAGACAGATTCTCTGAATAATTGAGAGAGGAGGGTTCTGGCACAAGAACCCTTCTTCCTTGCTGATGACTGCTGCAAAGAATTCATGTAGCTTGTCTGAAAGGCCTTGAAGTCTCTCTTTTATTTTTCTTTTTTTCTTTGGTGTTTTTTTTTTGTCTTGATCATATTTTGGATTGTGTATCCTAATCCTGATTTGTCACTTCCTCAATACATACAGGGGGATGTCTCATCTTACAAAGTCTCACCTTAATACCACATTTCCTGCCCTTTTTGCCCATCTGACCTCCCTCCACATCCTGTCATACATGAGAATTTAGTAATACTGATGCAATCCTGTCTTGTTCTCATTTCACATCTACTGATTCAATATTTCAGGCTTCTTATTTTGGCCAGTGAAGTGCCTGATAAGATGGCTGCTGAAGAGGTGCTTGCTAAGAAGAAAAAGTTTGTCACATGATGTCCCTTTAAACTTTCCTTAAAATGACTGAGAAAACGGAATGTGAAATTTCTTGTCTTGCATTAGCGAAATGCAAGAAGTCAATAACAAATGTTGGAAAATAGATTTTGTTTCGTTAATCAGAAATTCATCCCTAGTCCTACACTTCATGTTAACCACTTGTGAGTTAAGTGTAGTTACTACTCAAGTAATGTCACATGCAATTTTTTCTGTGCAGATGCCCCCAACATCAGTAGGGGTCTCAGAATCAAGTGTTATAGTACCTTCAAGGGATTTTTTGTTGTGATGGTGGGGGTTTTTTTTGGTTTTTTTTTTTTTTTAAACTGTTATTCTCCCTTTTAAGCACTGCTTGCCTATCCTATGTTTTTTGCTCCAACAGCATTGAATTTTTAATTTTCTATCAATTTTTCAGCTGTGAGGTGATTCGAGACTGGAAGACTGGTGAATCTCTTTGTTACGCTTTCATTGAGTTTGAAAAGGTATGTTTTTTAGGTATACTGTATGTAGATTCTGCTTATAAAAATTCATTTTCGGTGCACTTCTGTTAAGGAAAAACAGTGAAATCTTCAGATGTGGGGTAGCTAATGTTTTCCTCCTACTGACTTAGTTATAGAAGTTGTAAGTCCTAAATGAGGCAAACGTTTAAGTCTCTATTCAGCCAAGCAATACTAATATATTCTTAGGTTGTCTTGAAACCAGTGGGAGGGGAGCAGGTCCCTTTTTTTTTTTTCCTCCCAGAGCACTTTAGGACTTTGAGAGTTAGAGAAGGGAATGTTAGGAGAGAAGGGAGACATGCTGCCTAGAGACACGAGGGTGTATGAAAGAAGGTAGATTGGTGTATACAGCAGTGCCCTGTATAGGACTTGTAAATGATGCTTGCTCTGTTAGCACGCTGCTCTTGATGTGAGATTGATAGTCAAAGTTCTCTTGATGGTGCATAACTTCTTGTTTGCACCTGCAAATCTCTCTAAGAAAAGTGAAGAAAACAGGAAAACGCTGGAGAAGCGTTCTCACTTTTCTTAAGACTACTTATGTTCTTAAAATGGAGCTTTTATTAGTTGTTGTCCTGTTTTTTCTGTTGTTTTTCTGAATGTACAACATGTGCCAAACATATAGGTGGGTTGGTGAGTTTTTAAAGCCGTGAAATGAACTGAAGAAATGGAATTTGAAATGCTTCCATTTGGACAAAGCATAACTGTTTCTTTTGAAATGGCACAATGCAAGAACTGTGCTTTAGGCAATTTTAGAAAAAGAAATATGTGTGCCATTAAGGAGTTGAATTTGTGTTTGAGCTCTTCAGTGAGTATTGCTATGAAATAATCACAACTCAACATTTTCTGTAAACATTAATATCAGGAGGAAGACTGTGAGAAAGCCTACTTCAAAATGGACAATGTGCTGATAGACGACAGACGGATACACGTGGATTTTAGCCAGTCTGTTGCAAAGATTAAGTGGAAGGGAAAAGGTTGGTACACTTGTGATTCTTCGACCCTCATAACTTAATAAGCCATGACTTCTAAACTGTAAGTCTGATGTAAAGAGAAGCGATTGTTATCAATTGAAATCATCTCATCATCAGGGGTATAAATTTTCCTGGTGTTGTAATAAATAGAGCAACACAGTTGCTGGCTCTTCTCTTCACTTGTTCCATAATAAACAGTAGAAGGGTTTACTGCTGTTATATTAGCGTTATACTGCCATGGATTACTTATTGATCAGATATATTTTTACTACTAAATCATCTGTTTCCCTCAAGCATTAAGTGATGTTTTTTTACATTACTTATTAGCAAAATAATATGGCAGTGCATTGTTAACTTTCTAGTTTCTTTTCTTTATTCACTATATGACAGTTGGGTGTGTACAAGAAAAAGTCACTGTTCAGGCCAGGGATTTCCCCCCTTCACCTCCTGTAGGTCAAGCTTATTGCATAGCAGGCTGTGTATGTTATAAAACCCAATTTCACAGAATGGTTAGAGTTGGAAGGGACCTGAAAGATTATTGAGTTCCAGCCCCCCTGCCGTGGGCAGGGACACCTCCCGCTAGACCAATTTCAGACGTTTGAGGATGTTTTGGGAGAAAAAAGATAGTGGGAGAATTGGATACAGTGGTTTTTTGGTTGCTGGGGACGTGAAGAAAACATTGGACGCATGACTATGCATTGCAGTGGTGGTGATCTTGTGTGTCTTCGCCTAAAAATGCAGTCAGCCCTCAACTGTTTACATACAGTTTCTTGCCACTGGGGACTAGTTGTGGACACCGAGGTACTAGAACTTGTCCTGTGCAGAGCTGAGATGACTTTGTAATCTATACCGTGCTCTGCAGTGCATCCTGTACTAACTGACTACACAGAAAACTTTTCTTTGTCTGGGTAACTTAGGTTTAAATTGTCCCAAATACTGGAAAGCTAACTGTATTGTCATCTTGTGTTTACGTGGTACCCAAAAAAATGATCTCCCCAGGGAAGTGGTGGATTCCCCAGCATTGAACATTTCTAAGGTCCAGTTGAACGAGGTGCTGGGTTATCTTGTCTGGACTCTGCTTTTGCCAAGAAAGGTTGGACCAGATGATCTTTGAGGTCCCTTCCAGCTGTGTATTCATTCTATGGCTCTGACCCAGCCAGTTAATACTCCATTTTTAAGTATGACCGCGAGGTGGCAGCACGTTGCCGTAGAATAGTTTTTTCATCTGCGAGCTGGTACTTCCAAGTGAATGGATGGAAAATTAAATGTCGTGCCCCTCTTTAAATCAAGATATGACAGGGTTTTTTATAGTTTTCTGTTTGAGTTCTTATGATGTAACTTTCTCAGAGGTTTCTCTTTGTGCCCAGGGCAAACAGTCATTTAAGAATGAGAATATTTTGTAGGCTTTCGTGGCAACAGAATTTTAAGTAGTGTGACAGAGGACCTGTAGTCAGTGGGACTGAACCAGTTACTAAACCTTGCTTTGTGGTCCTGTTCATGTGTTGTCTCCAATGGACACGAGTGAGGAGAAAGCCATATGTTGTTTAATGGGACCTGCAAGCAAGAGAAGGACAGAAAATCACAGCTTGTCCTACTCTCTTCTACTCTGTTACCCAGATGTCAGTGTTGTTTCTGGAACTGTATCCTGCTTTGAATCTTGGTATGGTTATGAAGAGCCCTTAAATGCATAAGCAGAACTTAGTGATAGGTATGAGTCTTGGTTTTTTTTCATTTGGGGTGAATTGAATATATTTTTGTACGGACAGGTGGGCGGTATACCAAGGACGACTTCAAAGAGTATGAAAAGGAACGGGACAGACCTTCAAAACTTGCTCTGAAAGAGAAGGTGAAACCAAAGCAGGAGTATCCTTTCCTGGTCAAAGGTACAGTTCATGAAAACAGCCTGGAAAAGACTTTTTATTCTTAAAGCTTGCCAAATGGATGTTTTGCTGATGCTTCATATAACCATTTGGTGTTTGAGATGGAATTAAGCATTTTGCGTTTCAGACTTTTTATTCTTAAAGCTTGCCAAATGGATGTTTTGCTGATGCTTCATATAACCATTTGGTTTTGAGATGGAATTAAGCATTTTATGTTTTAAGACTTTTTATTCTTAAAGCTTGCCAAATGGATGTTTTGCTGATGCTTCATATAACCATTTGGTGTTTGAGATGGAATTAAGCATTTTGCGTTTCTCATTTGATGACTTTGATTAATTTAGTGAAATCAGAACATGCTGTTTCACTTCCACATTGTGTGCAGGTAAATAATGTTCCCAGTCTAGACCCCTGGAATGAGGTATGGCATAACAGAGTTTTAAGTAGCTTTGCAGGGGACCTGCTGTGTCCAAGAAGAGTTCATAATGGTAACTAATCGCGCTCTGTGATTATACTTTGCTTGTGGTGAGCATGAAAGAAAAGAAGACCATAGCTTGTTCAGATATCCACAAGCAGAAAAGGAAGGAGAATTGGAATCTCTTTGACAGGACAGAATTCAGTTACTTTAGCACAGCTGATTTTCTGTGTGTGATCCTATTCTGACTGAAATACATGGTAAGCTTTGGTAAAACCTGGTCTGTTTGCTTCTTGAGCTTTTATGTTCTGCTGCGTACTGATATCAAGTAGCAGGTCTGTCCTTAACCAACACCATCAGTACCAAGTATGACCTGGTGCTGGATGAGGATACAGAAGAGTCTCAAACAAGTCGGTCACACTCAGCTAAAAAGCAAAAGAAGAAAAAGCACCACCACTCTGAAGATGAAGAGGACGACAAGAGGACCAAAAAATCTAAGGTACTTACCTCTTCATGCATTAACTTTACACACATTTATTGTCCTTCTGATAGGAGAAGCCAGGAACAAAATGTCTGATACTGAACTGGGGACATGGTGTGCAAAGTCCCATAAAATACAGCAGTTGTAAACGTCCAGAAGGCTGATGATAGTGTCTGATTGTGAAAGAGGCTTTCCAAATCTTCCTGGACTTTTGAAGCTTGGCAACTCTGAATGGCTTTTTGCCAAAACATCCTGAAGAGTCAACGTAGCCTCTCGTAAAGTAGGAGATCTTCAACACTTTGAACCTGTCATAAATAGTAGTTCATCATATTTAAAGAATGCAAACTGTTTCTCATTTTCTTGCCAGACGATTGTGTGTTGTTTCTTTTCCATATGAAATCAGAACCACAATCTCTTTTCATTGTCTTTTTTTTTTTAATTTATTTTTCTGTTACTGTTTTGGAAGAGTTTGTGTAAAGATCTGTGTGCAGGTTTGCTTGCATCTCTATTGTGGAAGCATGTGGTGCTGTAAGAGTCGGGCTGGGGAGGGGATCATCAGGAGACAGTAGTTCTGTCATTCATTGGATCCACTGCAGCCTGTCCGGCCAGCGCTTGGGACAGTCACGATGTTGAATGTTTTGGGGAAGCAGTGTCTGCAGTGATAAAGTGGCAGGGTAACCACTGTTGAGGTGTGGGCGTTAGGAGGAATTGAGCTAAGCTGAAAAACAGAAAAAACCCAAACCTTGGTATTTTAACAGTGCAAGCTTTAGGAGTGAGAACAAAGCTGTCTCCTACCAACTTTGCAGCAAGTGATAAGGTTCCAACCACAGTAAATAAAGCCATTGTCCTGGCATGAGTTTTGAATACTGCTGTAAGTTGTGTGTCCAGAGAGCATACCTGATTGTGGTGTTTGATTGCGTCGCTTCTTGCTGTGATGCTAAAAATAACTTTTCTCATCGATGTTAGCAATTAAGTTTTTTTTGCTCATTCGTGGTACAAGTCTTTTTGTCGCTGTCTGTATAAAAATTCAGTCTGGATCCTTTAGTTGGAGGGCAGGGACCTGTTCCGATAATTGAAGCCTCGATCAGAGCATACACATACAAGAGGTCTAGACTGATACTGGTTTAGACTTCCTCTTATCTCACTCGCTGATTGACATTGTCGTTTTAACATTCTTGAAACAGATGTTTCTGGAAGTAACCTTTGTTCTTGATGGTTCAGAAATTACACGTGTGGAACTGTCTGGTCGTGTGTTACCAGCTGAAAACGTTTTACAATCATTCAGATGTCTCCACCCGCGTGGGTGGTAGGACAGGTACTGGCAGCAGTAGGCTGTTAACCTCCTAGGGTATAATGGTTACAAGGGGGCTTGGAGATACACGAGCAGTAGATTTCATAGCACAAAAACGTGAGGACAGAGGGATTGCTGGTGATATTTCCAGGTTCTGGAAAAGACTGTTTCTCTAGTGTTTAACTATGTGATCTCTTCTGTATATTGTTTTATGATTTACTTCCCTGCTCCTATTGTGGTTCATCCATGTAGTTTACTGCTGCTGTATTCTGGTCTCTCCTTCTTTCCCGGTGCTTTCCTCTCTGTTGCTCACCTTTACCTGTTTCAGTGTAAATAGCTTAGCCTCCTTATGGCCAAAATCACAGGTGGAGGTTTACCTCTATTCTCTCATGGCAAGCAATGTAGTTCCCTCTTGGAGCTGTGAGAATGAATATCTGGGAAGAATTTTTCTCTGTTTCTGCACTTGAATGTTCTCGTTAGTGTGGACTCATATAGCGTGCACACGCTGAACAGTGTGTTCTCAGTCTGATTTAGACATTCAGTATCTTGGGCATGTCCCTTTCCAGATGAAATCTGCAGGCAGTTTAGCTGACAAATCCTGTTTAGCATATACAAAATGTATTTTCTTTTTTAAATATTCTTTTTTTTAGGTTTATAATTTGGGCATAATCTGCGGAACTCGTACAAGAACAGGGGAAGGAGGCATGTTCTTGAGGCAGAGTATGTTCAGTATGGAAACTTTTTTGGTGAATGTATTTGTAGTATTTTTAGTATAGGCAAACAAAGCATTTTCCCTTAACCCTATTTTGGAAATACTGAAATATATTTGAAGTAAAACAGTGGCAGACCTTCCACAACTAATTGGCCAATGACGACAATAGCCATGCTTCATACATAAACTTCCATCCCGAGCGCCTAATGTGGCAGAGGTTTTAATTAACAGATAACAGGGTCTTATAATGGGAAGTTCTGGCAACTGAAACTGCAGTCTGTGCTTCCAGCTATGACTGAAACGGTTTTATTTTCTGAATAGTTTCCATGATGTCGAATCGTTTTTCTGTTCTCTTGCTGTTTTCTTTTTTCTTTAGTATATTTTGACTCATCCTTTTCTTAATCTGACACCCGTTTCCTGAATCTTCAGCCTCTGTTGATGTTTTAAGAATATATTTTTTTAATCCTGTGCTGCTTGACTTGGTTCCAGAGGCTAGAAGAGGCAGGGTGTTGTGGCTACCCCTGGGTGTGGGTCTGGAGCAGGGGCTGCACTACCATGTGGGTTGTTAATAGGATTTGGTAGAGTTTTTCTGAATACAGGTCGCATTTCTGCTTGAGATCTATGTGACAACTTTGCTCTCTTTCGAGTTTTCTTTGCGTTTTTTGGTTCCTTGGATTTTTTAATTTTTATTTATTTTTTTTAAGATCGCTGGATCTGTGGAGGGGTATAGCCTGCCCAGTGGATTTTTGTGAGGCATAGGGGCTTCCTGGCTTTCAGGTTTCTGTAGTGCATTGTTTTGGCAGAGATACTGATTTTTCTGGTTTTAATTTCCTGCTCTTACTGCTTATTGGACACTGTTCTCTTTATATTCTTGGTCAAGCTTGATCAAAATCTCTCTTCTGAAAAGGTTATCTCTATTTGTTGGGTCCTTTTACCCTTTAACTGATGTGCTTAATGTATGTAGAGGTGGCATATTGATTCCACTTTTGCGGTCGTGGTATTTCCAGCTGATTTACCTGCAAATACTCTTTGGCAAGTTACTGCTTTTGGCAAAGCCAGTCATGAACTTCCAGAGAGATGCCTTTCCCTCTTTTCGTATTTCCTTCCTTGTGTGTTCACCAGCACGGTGCTGGATTGAGAACTGGGGTGATCATCACTTACTGATGAGAGGCTGGGATCCTGGATTGGGAAATATGGACTTTGGCAGTAAGAGAGAGTCTGTTTTTAAGTAGGAACCTTTTTCTTCCCCTTCCAGTGGGAAGACAGCATGTTTCAGACTTGGATAGAACATCAAAGATTTGATTTCAAAATACTGTTCTTTTTGGTAACTTAGAGTATTTCTAAAAAATTCACCTTTTTTCTGTGCCAGAGATTTTAAAAAGATGAAATCTTACTTAAGGGGAAATGTAACTGATTTTTGGGGGTTGGAACTAAGATGCAATTCATTCTATTAATTCAAATTACTACATTTTTTTTCTTTACACTGTAATCATATTAACTACTGTGATGACCTTTTTGTGGCACTTTCAGACTTGCCCTGTACTTGCCCTCTGCCTTAAATGCTTCTGTGAAGGTTATTGTGCTTGGCTGGCTCCATTCTCATACAACTTTTTTTTTAATCATTTCAGCAAATTGCCCTTTTCTGTGGCATTCAGTGTGGGTTATTTGTCTTTACTTCCAAGTCTTCACTAACCTGTTCCCTGGCCTGGCTTGGCCAGTAGCCTGTCTCTGGTGGTGGCTTGCTAGATTTTTCAACTGAGTGCTGTTCTGCTTTTCTCCTGTTTCTCCCATGTGCTGGGAGGAAACTTCAGCAACATAACAGCTAGAAGGCAGCAGTGCACCAACCCCACCATTTGGTTTTCTGGCCAATATTTTTGTTTTGTTCCTCTCTAGTTCACCACCACCGTGTCCATCTTCTGATGTTTACTCAGGCCCTGCCCCAGAGGGGCTTGGAACCTGTCTTCTTGTTCAAACACATGGCTTTTGGGTACAAGAGTAATATGACTGTGGATCATTCTGAAGATAAATGGACCAAGCTTTTATAAATAGCTGGAAGCACCACTCCTTTTTGGTGAATTCGGATTTTTAAATCTCTACTGAAGTAAAGTTTGGTGGTAAAGATGGGGAATAAGCATTTGGCCACCAGTGAGATTCCTGTACACACTAGTAGCAGAAATTTTTGATTATGTAGATAAAGATCAAATCCATGATTACTGATGTGCATGTTGATCCAGGGGGTTTATGTTGCTTATTGTAACTCTAGTATTTCAGTGTTATCTACATAATTCTAAAGGTGGTGTTTGCTCTGGGAACCATCCTAATCACCGCCTTTCTAGATAAAAGCTCCGCTTGGAGTACAGGGTTTTTTCACTATTCTTTTAAATAAAGTTTGCTTGTTTGTATGTGCAGCGTAGGTTTTAGACATACAATTGTGAATGCTACTGTCACAAGTACATATGTAGAAAAATGAAAATTGTATCCAAAATGAAGAAAGAAATACTGTATAATTTAATGCAGACATTTTTCATAGTTCATAATGATGTGTTTAGCAGTGTTGTTATTAAAATCCCATAAAATGGTATCTGTCTACTAGAGCCTATAATGATACTAAACATTCAGATGATCGTACCTTTGAAAATGCTTACCACTTTCTTAATAGCAAGTTGTGTATGTGTCTTTCTGCAGGATTCTGAAGCTCCCTCTGGTTATTTTGTTTGCATGTATATCTTGGTAGAGTAATAAGAACAAAAAATGTCAAAACTCAGTGTTGTGTATTAAGAAAAATCTTTAGAGTTCCTTGAAATGAAATGGCAACTTTATCTTTTTACTTTTAAAACTGCTATGATGCTGTTGCCTGTGTGAGTGTTGGTACATAGTCATAGTCATTCTAGCGTGTGCTGTGCCATAATCCTGTTGGTGTGACGTTTCACCATCTGAGAATTAAGCCATTTTCCCTTCGTTTACTGATACCCTGCCTCAGGGACTTCATACTATCTATCCAGTGAAACAAGTGGAGATGGTGTTCTACTCACAGCTATTCCTCCTTGGTTACATAAACCTCATTTCTCTCCAGAGCAAATCCGTTCTGTGTGTGGGGCCACTCTGCATTCTTACTGATGATATGCAGAAAGCTGGGGAAATTCCAAATTTCCTCATTTTTGGCTACCTAAATTTGCGGCATTTTCCTTAAAGAGTTTTTGTGTGTGTGCTCAGACAACATTGCCGCTTGTACATACTGTTGGTGTCTTCTTTGTAGGCCATTTTAAATCAGGTAGGCTTGTACCCCTTGGAGTGTACTATGTCTGTCTACGAGTGTATCTTTGTGTGTTTTCTATATGGGTCGTTCCCATCAGCCTGCAGAATACAACTGACTTTTCATTACCTTGTTATTGTTTGACTCTACATTTAAAAGGATTGGATTCTCCATGCTGCCTTTTTTTTGTGGACTGCTAGCTTCAAGGAAGTGAAATAGTTTGCCTCTGTTTGTAGTGGTGCATTTGTTTTTCCAAAGCCTAGAATTTAGGCTGTTAAGGATTATTAGAGGGAGATCTTAAAAAGTGTTCTGCATCTTCATAGCACTGGAATGCGTGTGAGGCTTGAACCAAAACCTATGATTGAGATATTTCCATTGCTTAGATAAGAAATCAAAATCCAAATCTAGCTTAGAAGCTTGTGTGATTATTATGAAGGGTTTGATAATATCCATCTGAGTTGAATCCCTGATATAACCAGTTTTTGCTAAAGCTCCTAAGGAAATACAAGCAGCAGCATGCCTGGCAGCTGTGCTATTTTTTTGGTAAATGCTGACAAAACCTGTAAACTAACCTTCTTCCTATAGTTACAGTGAGTGTTTTTCATTTGTTATCTTTTTCAAGTCGTCATGGATGCAAATGTATTTCAGGTAGCATCAGCCTTAGCTAAGGAATCAACCACGCTTGACTCTTTTCTAGTTCTCTTCATGCTTTTGTGTGTTTTCCCCTTTTGTCTGTAACTGTGTATCTGTCCACTTCCTTTCACAGGATTCTGACAGAAAGCATGAAGGGGAACGCTGCAGAGAGAAGACAAAGAGTGAGAAGAAAGACAGGCATCGGAGTCGCAGCCGATCTCAAGAAAGAGACTACTCTTACAGCAGACAAAAAGACAAATACAGAGATGACTTCCGAGTAAGAGACTGGGATAAAAAAAGAGACAGAAGCAGAAGTCCTAAGAAATCAAAAGACAAAGAGAGGTCCAAGTACAGATGAAGGATGAGGAAAAGAGGGAGGGGAACTAAAATGTGTTTTCTTCCAGAATTTCCAACGTTCTCTCAAATGGATGTGCAGTTATGGGATAAAAGCCGTTGCCTTCTGTTGGCAGCTTGGCCTTACGATTCTGTGAATGCCCAGCGTATGGCTGTCAGAGTAAGCCTGGATTCCAAAAAGGTTGTTTCAATAAAATACTTCACGTTAGTGAAATGTTTTGAGTCTCCCATAAGAAATGTTGTGTAGAGCTGTTTGGAACCATAAGTATGCACCAGCAGATGAATTACCCTTCTCCACTGCGAGGAGATGTGCAGGACATACCTCCTTTCTACAGGGAGGTTGTATTTATCTTTCAGCATTCTCAGATGCTTTGGCAATGAGCGTGAGAGAAGACCTGGGGAGACAGAAGTGTTTTGTATGCACTGCTTCCAGAGAGTGGCTAGATACCATTTGTATATTAGTACTCAAAACTCTTTATTTCTTTCCTTTAAGTGCTTCTGGCTGGCTTAGTCTTGTTGGCTCTGTTTGTTGGCACCGGTGAGCAGCAGTGGTTGAAGGCACTGAAGTTACTGCTTGCAGGGGTGATGCAGGTGCTGCACCACAGGACATCAGTTGCACTTCCTTGCTCACTTGGCTGCGTGGCACTGCTGGGGGGGATCTCTCTGAACGGAGAGTCACTTGGTATTTGGCCCATCTGTAGTCCCTGTTAAAGATCTGGGCCCTGTAGTGTGGGCCCGTGGTGTCAGGCAAGTTGTGTTGGGTGGGTAAGAAAGAAGGAAATAGGCATTACCAGAATTAGCCAAAAAGCAGAATTGTAACTTGCATTGTATTTACCAAAGCCTAGATGGGATTAATTTTCAGGTTTTGTGGGCAGAAGTAGGTCAGTTAGTAATTTGTCATCTACAGAGGAATGAAGGTGGTGTTATCAGAGCCTGGGTCTTAGTGAAAGTTGCCAGGTTCTTAAATATCTCTCTTGCTCTGATAAACTAGACCTTGCCATGTAAACAGTGTTAGCCAGTGTGCATACATTTCAAGAATATACATGTCTTCCTCTTACTCTCCAGAGGAGGAGAGATCTTGCATTGTTGGGAGGGGAGGGGGAGACATGGGCAGTAGTATTTGTCTTTCCTTCCCCTCCATGGAATGTGTGATGGCTCAGAGGCAGTCTGCTTTGATGAATAAATTTAACTTTTTTCTTTGATGATTGTGTTTTTTCTGTAATATTTGCTCTAGCATCTGGTTGGAATAAGTAATAAGATTTTATAGTTTGATACCCCTTATTGGAACGTGATTTGCAGGACAAAGACTAAACGTAAAATTCAAAGCAGCCAAGAAGAGGGCAGAGTTGCTGCAAATTACTGTGCCCTGGAGTAGCCATGCTCAGCTGGAGGATTTGGATGGACTGTACACAGAAAGTGAGCTTCTGGTGAAGGTGCTTCTATGGGAAGGCTGGTACTGAAGGAACAAAAGCAGCTGTTTAACCCATGGCAGAAAATTCTGACTAAGCAGAATATCCAGACCCAAGTTGATGGGGGATAGTGTGGGCATTGTATTCAGGAATATGCTTTCCAGAGACATCTGCCCTGTCTTTGGTTTGTTAAATATTAAGTAAATATTGTGCAGAATCCTTTCTAACTTTTGTGTGGTTCAAAGTGTGGGACTGGAAATCCAGGGTTTCTATAACTGTCTCCTGATGAAACATTTCTAAGTGTTTTGTGGGGACTTTCAGGGACCCGTGCCACCCTCAGAGTCTGAGCAGGAGCCCGGCCCAGCTGTCCCACAGGAGCGATAAACGGGAAGCCCCCTCTCGGGAGTCTGTTGCTGTTCCCTTCCAGAGAGTTTCTGCTTTCAGTCTGAGCATAAGAAGCCTTCCAAAGAATGGTGCTGCTCCAGGGTGTGATTCATTTGAGGTAGTGCTGCTGAGACAGTAGGTTTTCTCTTAGCCCTTCCTACTTTTAATCTGCTTTGTTAAAGAACCAAGATGTGTACTATCGTGCTGTCCTCCACTCGTTTCCACAGCACGTTTTTATACATGCAAAAAACAGACCACATTTGACAAGGATGTGGATGGTAAAGCAAATGAGTTCTTGCTGCAATCATAGTAAGAGAAAAAACAACTTTATTCTAAGAAGATGGGTTCTTGCTGAACACCAGAGATGCTCTTATGGGAGAGATGACAAAAGTGGCTTAACAGCATGAAGAGTTTCAGCAGGCATTCCTAGGCTTCAGCTCGCCCCCAGCCACCCGTGGGACATACAGAGCCTCTTGTTTAGAGACAAACACCCTATTTGAGGTGAATGTGCTCACTTCACAGCAGAAATAGCTTTTCCTTCTCACAACAGGTAAGTGCTTAAGAACTGACAGTTTATGAGAGTAGTGTATGGAAGTAAATAGTCAATTTGCGTTGATGGTCAAGGATTCTTCAGAATAAAAGGTTAAAAAATACATCCAAAAGTTGTATGCCTTAGTGCTTTGAAAAATATACCCAGTGTCTTCAGATTACCTGTTTGTATTTTTAAGGTGAAACTTTCAAAATGTGGATGTTTCAAAAATTAGGTGACAGCAGAAAAGCTCCTTATTTGGAGGCAAGTACTTAATGTTTAGGTACGACTGAAAAAGTAGCATTTCTAGGCTACTTTGCTGACACTGGAGGGGTCGCAGTTCGCCCGGTACACACATGGACGGCTGAGCACTCTTGAGTTTGATGGGATTTACTGCTGTGGTCATTGGAAGTTAAGGTTGTGTACATGTGGTTCTCCTGGAAATGACACGAACGAGCTGTAGGGTCGGCTGAAACCACAGACATTTCCTGCTGTTCCCGTCCTCCCAGAGGTGTTGGAGCAGGAAGGAGTTTTTATTATCCAGGAGTTGGAGAGTTGACTTGTTTTGGTCTAATGAAAGCTCACACTTCCCTGTCCTTGTTTCCGCTTCATCAGTGCTATCTCCAACCTTGGTTTCAGTATTGACCTTTGGTGCTTATGGTAGTTAAAAACCGGAACAGAAGAAAAAACCCCACCTTCCTCTACAGTGTTGAGAATGACATTGAAAATGTCGCAGCAGAAACACCAGCTTCTTCACTTTGACTTAGCTGAGGCCTGTTTGAAGGGGAGCCCTTCGTGCTTTAGGCTCTGTGCAGACGTTAAAGGCTTAAAAAATAGCTGCTTAGAGTTTTCTGATGTATTCCCTTATCTGTAACAACTTAAAAATATGGTGTAGGCTCTCTAAACTCTTGTATTCCATGGATAAGAGGAAGTTGGAGACCTAGTTGTAGTCATACATTACAGTTCCTTTAGTTCTCTGTGGACTTGAAGTGGACTTGACCAAAACCTTGTTATGAATGGGGTCTGGTCTTAAAGCACTAAAGGCAAGTGAGAGAGGTCAGGGTTTTGCGACAGAGACCCCTTTTCAATCCCAGGGATATCACACGAGCGAGTAGAAGTAGCGTGAGGATTGTATGCGAGTGATTTGTGTTCCAGGGTGGGTTCCCTGCGTTGGTCATGGTGTGTGCTCTGCCTGATGGCTGTGGGCCACCTTCCTGGTGGCTCCCTCTTCCTTTTCTCAAAGGTCAGGAGGTTGTGTGTGAAACTCCCTGAGCCTAACCCTGGGTTGTGCTCTGGGTGGGCTGGCAACACCTAAGCGTTCTTCACCAAAACCCCCTTCTGGCACGATGACTTGGTGTGTTTGCTCTTCCTTTGGGACATGTGCCCAAAGAGTTGTTCTGTGTAGCCTCATGCGTGGATGGAAAAACGTGCCACGTGTCCCTGGTTCTGGGCTGCCATGAATCTTTACTCTCTGTAGGTAAAGCTGTACCTGCTTCCTTCCACTTTTCAAAAAAAATCCCAACAACCACCCAAACAAAAAAAACTACAACAAAACAAAGCACACCCACCCACCCCCAAACTTAATTATTTGGACAAGCATTTTAATTGCACGTCCAAATAATTTGCATGTCCAAGTTTAAGAAGTTACAGTCAAAATTTTCAAGAAGTTCGAAGTAATTTCTGAATCTCTCGCTGCTCTTACCTTTGTCAATGTTACCCTCCTATAGCTGGATTTTTTTCATCTAAAACTTGTATGTTACTGACAACAGGATTTCGGGTTTTGCTTGAGAGCCTCCTTGAGCTTGGGCAATGTCTCTCCTATTGTGTCCATCACCTGTTGCATGCATAGGGGCTGAACAAGCAGTTTGGAAAATGCTAAATTAAGATTTATGGAATCTTGGTCAACAGCAGGCTGAACATGAGCCAGCAGTGTGCCCAGGTGGCCAAGAAGGCCATCAGCATCCTGGCCTGTACCAGGAACAGCGTGGTGAGTAGGACTCGGGAGGTGATCGTCCCCCTGTAGTCGGCACTGGTGAGGCCCCACCTCGAGTACTGTGTCCAGTTTTGGGCCCCTCACCACAAAAAAAGACATTGAGGTGCTGGAGCGGGTCCAGAGAAGGGCAACGAAGCTGGTGAGGGGTCTGGAGAACAAGTCTTATGAGGAGAGGCTGAGGGAGCTGGGGTTGTTCAGTCTAGAGAAGAGAAGGCTGAGGGGAGACCTTATTGCTCTCTACAACTACCTGACAGGAGGATGTACAGAGGTGGGGGTTGGTCTCTTCTCCCAAGTCACAGGCAACAGAACAAGAGGAAATGGCCTCAAGTTGCGCCAGGGGAGGTTCAGGTTGGATATTAGGAAAAATTTCTTCATGGAAAGGGTTATCCAGCATCGGAATGGGCTGCCCAGGGAAGTGGTTGAGGCACCATCCCTGGATGTCTTCAAAAGATGGGTTGACATAGTGCTTAGAGAGATGGTTTAGTGATGGTTTTTATCAGAATTAGGTTGATTGTTGGACTAGATGAACTTAAAGGTCCCTTCCAACCTCAACAATTCTATGATTCTATGAATTGCTACAGGGCAGTATTTTTGTGTAAAAGTCTTGGTCTGGTTACTGACAGACGGCACTTTATCTCAGTGAGGAAGCCCGTAGCATCTTGGTTAAAGGCTGCTGCTGTGTTAAAAGGCAGCAGTACACCGTACCTGAGGTTTAGGGCTTCCAATAAATCGCTGAAACTGAAAGACAGTTCCAAAAACTTTCTGAAATCTTAAGCTGAAGAGCAGTAAACTTTTGAACTCGAAACTTGTCTGGGACTTTCTGATTGTAAAAGGTACTTTTTATTATAACGCCAGTGGAAAACACTTGAGTAATAGCAGTATCTTTTTATATAAAAGGCAGAGGAAAATTAGGTATTTTAGGCAAAAACAAGTTGAGCCCCTGCTACATCAGATCCTAAAATGAGACTGTCATTACCCAAGAAGTAAAAGAAGTTACTATTGGTTGTGCTATTGAAACCAGCCCTTCTCTGGTCGCCCCGGTCTGTGGCCAGATGGAGTGCTCACGGCTGCAGCAGAGCTTTGGGGAGGGAGGAGAGGTGCTCATTTTCGCAAGTAAGGTAAAAATACCTTTTCCAGAGATCCTGGCTCTTTACCAGCCTCAGTACGGGATTGCCCGTCGGGAACTGATCCAGCACTCGGGCAGGACCTGTTAGGTCAGTGATGTAAATTTTTGGGGTGAACATCTGCCACCAAGTCAAAGTTTCCACCGTTTCCAACAGGGAGAGAATTTCATTGGCAGAAAACATCTAGACTTTGCCTAATAGTGTGTTAAAATCACTGAAAATGGGGAGTGTAGCTCGTACTGTGAAACGGTGACTTGTTCTTAGTGCCCAGGAGGTTGAACTGAAAGCGTCTGGCTTGGGGGTCTGACCCAAGCCTTGCTGAAGGCAGCAGGGATATATTCTTGCTCAAGGCAGGATCGGGATTGTATTAGTTCCAGGAACTATTTAAAATATTCCTGACGTTAGACCTGCATTTGATTAAGCACTGACTTTATCCTGACTGTCTTCTGCTGGTTAGGGGCTAAAGAATTTTCGCTGTGACACTACGGCCACCAGCGCTTGTTTGATTTTCCCAGCAGGTGAACTTTTTCAGATGAGGAAGAGAGTAATAACACTTTTCTCTGGTGCTGATACAATAAATGACTGTTTCCTTTAGCAAAGCAAATAGCTCACTGGGGTGTGTAGACGAAAACACCTGTGGTGTTCCACACAACCACTTTCAAGAGAATGTTTTTTTTTCCATATGAAAGTCTAGAACCGCCAGGAAAGTGGTTTTGCACAGAAAGCCTCCTTAGACGTCACGCTTGGTCCTCTCCGTAGCCAC